TTTATTTAAATTAATTTTGTGATAAATAATATTAAATAATAGAATCCGAAAATTCAAGTTTAAGTGATTTGTTAATCACAAAGAGTTGTGATTGTAAGAGACAAATTACATATAATTGGGTCTTGAATAAACCGTGATCGTAAGTAATAACGAGATACGGATATCGTTAATACAGTTAGACCATCACGTGTGGCATTTCTTACTTGTGAAGTAAGTAATTGATCTCACGAGCTAAAGTGTGGTGACACTTAAATAAACACGTGGATGTTTTGTTATAGAACAAAACATTGGAGACCCGCTAAGAGATTCCACATGAATAACTATCTGAGTGTCAGTGGTTAATCGCTAACGTTCGGTAATGGAATTGGTCCTACAACTTGAGGTCATCATAGTGTCTTGTATGAGGACAGTCATACTTTGACGGTATTGGATGTTACTCTGCCAAGGGCAGCTAATACGACAACGTTCGGGTGTGTCAAGAACCATATGAAGGTTGTGAATGACCAATAGAGAATTTAACACTCTTAGATAGTAAGAGATTGTGATATGCATTTCGTTCAATTAAATCAATAACGAAATTCTTGGCAAAGGTATACATATAAGTCGAAAAGGAGTTTTTGACTCATATTGACTTAATAGTAGAATGAAAGATATGATCGATAATCGAGATTGACATACTTCCATATCTCGTAGTTGATCGGATCATATTGACGAAAGGATTATAATTTCATGGTAAACGAACAGTTTTGGTTTTGTCATACCACATGACATTTTTCGTCACATGTGTTGTCCTGATACATTGCTAGATGTCAATCTGGGACGACGAGTGTGAATCTGTGATAAATTAAAAGAGTGTTTAATTTATCAGTTTTGATTAGATCAAAATAATATTTCACGTCGTTAGACATCGTGGTCGGGAACCTAATGGGTTGCACACAAAAGAGAATTGAAAGATTGCAAATTGTCAATTGATTAATTTAACAATCGTTGGATAAATTAATCAATTGAATTTGTTATTTATATTCCTGAATTAATTAATTCACGGACCGAATTTAATTAAATGTATTAATTAAACATTAGACCGGACCGAGTCGAGCCCGTTTGGGTTTATATAAATACATGGCTAGGGTTTGAGGTCCATAGAGTTTTCATTATTCTTGGTGGCATAAGAGGAAAAACCCTAGCAGTTGCAGTCTATTCTCTGTGTGGATTTCATTGAAGGTTGAAAAATTGGACAGCTGTGGGAAGCAGATTCAAGCTGCTGGAAATGAATAACACGAAGGAGTTCGCAAAATCAAGAAAAATATATATTTCTTATCATAGTTCTTATCTAACTACAAAACTGAATCCTGAATGGGAATTGAAATTTGTTTAATTTCGCTGTGCATGTTTAAGTAAATTCCCAACACTCTACCAAAACAAGAATTTTTCCTCAGCCATGAGAGGAAAAAAGAAAGCGAAAGGGAAGGAAAATCGTGTAGAAGGTTGAAACACGTGAGAGAAGTGAATCGGTGAACATAGAAACCGGAATATGATCTTCCTCAATTGGAAGGAAACGAAGCTATGGCTCTTTTATACAAGGGAGATTGAAGGCAAATAGAATTCGACAGGGAAAGGATAGAGAATGTAAAGGTTTAAGGCAAATGGAAGATGGAAGAGTTGCAATTCTGTCAGAGATATTTCAGTGATATTTATTGATAGACAATGAGAAGCCTTTTAGATGCACAGTACTGAACCAGAAGTGAGCCAGCCAAGTGTGAACACTTAGGTCCAAAAATAAACAGTAAAGTTGGATCCCTCTTTTAAAGTAAGTAGGAAGTAGGATATCTGTCAAGAAACTCGGCACTTTATCAATTTACTCTTGATTTTTCTTGGTTGCATCAACATACAAGATTCCAGCTTCTTTCCTATACTATATCCAACATCACACGAGTTTTGTGGTGGATTCAAGTTGCAGGATTGCGTAATGCTCAGCCACCTTGTTATTTGGGTTTTGAGCTGCAGAGATATCTCCATCCAATATATGTTTAGTATCAAGCTGATTAATTAAAAATATTTGGGACACTTTAACTTGACCAATTCTTTTTCCTTACTACATCTGATTGGAATCTGAAAGGGTTTTCTTTTATGGGTAAAGTTCCTTTCTTTGATGGCTGGACTTGTGAATTTGACTTTTTGTTTGTAGGATTATTACTTGTAAGACTATTTTCTTTATCTTTATTCAAGATTTCATCGACTCTATTTCCTCCTCCTCTGGTGACATCGGCGAGACTAACGATACTCACTTAAACTTTCATCTGCATTTAATTTTTTAGATGGGTTTTTTTGAATAGGGCAGAATGTAGCAGAAGCCTCATTAGTTGTTCAGAAGACTGAAATTGGGTACCAAGAGGTGCACCTTTCTTCATTCTTATAACTCTAACATTCCATACATCTGTTAACTATTATTTATGAATCTTAAAATTATTACATTTCACAATTTCCTAGATTTTCATTTTCTTTTATTATATCTTGCCACCCTCTATTATCAATGAGTTAAAATCAATATATTATTTTAATTTTCTCTCTCTTCTGGTTATGCATTTACACCAACCCAATCGACAAGATCGGCAGATTCTTTATCATTCACAAATTCAGAGTCTTATATCATTCACAAATTTTAGATGAATATTTATTCTGAAACTTTGTTAGGTTCTTTGTTTTTTCAATTTTGACTTTGTGTTTCCATTGAATATTGGTTATATATTTTTGTAGCATATGCATATGTATATGTTCGTGTTATTGTGTTAGGTAAATTTGGGGCAGTGTATTGATGATGAAGCTGATATTCTGTGGGAAATTCGAGTACAAGACTCAACAGTTGGATTTGGAGCGATTGTTCTGCAGATATGGAAGAGTTGAACGCGTTGACATGAAATCCGGTAAATAAATTGCATTTTTTGGTGTTTATCAAGATAATGTGATATCTGTATCTTGATATTTCACTGTTATTTCTTGATTATTGTATGTAAAGCTTTTTGAAATTTGACAAGTATGTGCTTGTATGTTTGACAAAAAGTTAGAAATAATATAATGAAAACTGTGAAGATGGCAGTGCCAATGAAGTTTACTTTGACACTTGTGTTTAAATAGGCAATATTTTCATATATTATTTGTTTAGAGCAACTAATTTTATTGTGATTGTGATGGAAGTATATGTGGTGTGGCTATGATTTAAATTTGAAAATGTTTGTTGTGATTGGGGTGACGATATTTTTTGAATGTGTCTTGGTGAGTATATCATATGAGGCTCTCTTTCCGTGTTATCCCTTTCATTTTTTGGTTAGCGAATGCAAAAATTTTTCTTTTGACTAGATGTTTAATTACTATAACTTTTGTATTATGATCTTTCCCTCTTTGTTTGATCAGCCCTTGGGAGTTTTTGAGCTAGTTAATCTATTTGGTTTATGAAACTTTTTTGTTACCTAATATGTTGTTTTCTTGGTTGGGTACTTAAATATTAGCCCTAGCAGTTTTTGATATCTACTGGTTCTTAATTATCTGCATGGTATTAAATTAGTGCTTAAACTGTCTATAATTTTCTTAATTTGGTTATTGTTTTATCTTAACTTCTCAAAGGCCAAAGAAATATCCTTTACATTTACTGATTCTTGTTGGCATCCTTTCTTCTAGCTTTGTGGCTAAATATAAATTCATAGAATTACTAAATCTATTTAGTAATTAATATACTTCTGTCATTTAAACCTGTGTATCCAAAATGCATACCTTCACAAAGATATATCAAAAGAAATATAAGAGGAGTATAAGATCACCAGGAAAGAAATAAATGGCGGGAAAATTCGTCTTTATTGAAAAAGATCTCCATATTTAAGCATTTGTTTTGACATCAGAACACTATGATGCTCAGACTCGGGTGCGGGTGTCGGATACGGGTACATATCTAGGAGTCAGATTCTTCTCATTTTAAAAATTAAGATATGAGGACACGTTTAAAAAGGATCCGAATTTTGGACACCAATATGGGGATACGTCTTATAATTTTTTTCTTAAAAAAATGATTCAATTAAAGCAAACAACCACAATATTAAAGCAAAATAGCAAAATTACCACAATACAGATGTTTCATTTAATAAAATCCAAATTCGAACAAAACAAAATTGAAATAAAGTTAAACATCAAAAATGTCATAACATAAAAAGTAAAAAGTTTTCCACTTGAAATAAAACTAAACAAGCATTCCTCGATCAAGCTTTACTCCTCTTCTTCATCAAACGTAATTGCCTCCAATTCTGGCTCATCAAGGGATAGTTCCGCCATCTCAATGATACCTTGTCCATATAATTCAATTTGATCTCCACCTACAAAAAATATAGATATATGATTATTAATGTGAAAAAATTAGATATCTAAAAAAAACAAAGAATAAGTATTTGGTATACATACACAAATCCCAATATTTTGCTGGCCCATCTTTGTACTCCTCTTCTTTTCGTGACAGGATTCGAAGATTACAATAAATAAATACCAAGTCTTCCGCCCTACTAGTCGCTAGCTTGTTTCTCTTGATACTCTGGATTAGTGAATACGTGCTCCAATTTCGCTCACAACAAGAAGAGGATGCTGATTGCGAGAGCAATTTAAATGCTAGAGATTGCAACAAAGGTACTAAAGAACCATGATAGGCCCACCAAGAGATTGGCTCTTCGTACATTCTTGCGTCAATAACATGGGGTTGATTGAAATACTCCGATCCACTAGAAAAAGAACCAAATTCAGCATATGTTTTCCTCAAATCAACCGGATTTTCAAATAACCTTTTGAAGCATTTGCTTATATTCATTGAAACTTCTTGATCTTCATGTGGTGCAATTCTTGGAACACTGTTACTACCATCTTGAAACCAAGATTCATTATAATACTTAGGAACCAAAGAGTGTGCCATACAATGCAAAGGAGTGTTACTCTTATTCCATCTACTCTCCAAACCTTGGTGAATAGCATCAAAAAAATCTGAACGCCCAGAAATTAAATCTCTCTTCGTGCTCAAATACTATCTTTTTCACATTTTCAATCATTGTATCCCACATATCATATATTAAATGGAAAACTGGAGAATTAGTATCAGCGACTCGTAACATATTATAAATAGGCTCGGTGAAAGATAAAAAATAATCCAAATTATCCCACCAAACATCATTTACTACACATGTTTTCACTTCTTGTGATTTGCCTTCATTACTTCCATCCCTATAAATTCTCCAATTTGAATCCATCAACATTTTTTCAAGGGCTGGCCTAACTTCTCTTAACCGTTTACTCATTACAATAGCATATGCAAATCTTGTATCAGCCACTCTCAACAAACACAATTTAGAATATTTATTATATATAGCTAATGCCATTTCATGATTAACAATAAAATTACGAATGTTTTCCACATCAATCACCAAATCAGCAATCCACTTACAATATGCATATTGTGGTGATTTTTCAGATGGATCACATATGCTTTTCAAAGCTAACTTCAAACTATGTGCCACACAAGGAGTCCAAAAGATATGAGGTTACCTTGTTTCAATGCTTAACCCAGTAGCTTTATAGTTGCTTGCATTGTCTGTTATAATTTGAACAACATTTGAATTTGCTTGATTGCATCAATAAACATTGCTGCCATGTATTCTCCATCTTTTATATTGCCACTTGCATTAATTGCTTTAATAAACATGGCTCCACCTGCAGATGCTCCCATTACATTTATAAGAGGCCTTTTTTGTTTATCCGACCAGCCATTAGAAACAATAGACACTCCCCTTTTCCTCCATGAATCTCTAATAGGCTGAAGTTTTCTATTGATATGCTCTTTCTCTTGTGCAAGCAATGTTGTACACAATCGATTATAAGTAGGAGGGGTATAACCAGCCAAGTTACCATTAGCCAAAGTTCTACAAAACTGTCTGAAATAAGGAGATTTTGCAAAGTTGAACGATAATGCACTAGTGAAGAACATTCTGGCTGCCTCTTTGTCAGCCGTGTCCCTCTGCGCCATGTTGAAGGTCTTTTCTAGAGGTCCAAGTTCTCCTCTTTTTTTCCTTTTCTGTGGCAGTAAATCGAAAGCACTCGGTAATGAGATATATTCTGTCATTTTTCTTTCATTGACCTCATCTTGTAATTTTTTCCTCTCGACTTGTTCGTGTTCCCTCTTGATTGATTGATGAATGTGATCTGTTATGACTTTACAGCACTCAACTCCATGATTTGGAAGTTTTAGCAAATGAGCCTTCACTTTGGTGTAAGATCCAATCACCTTTTTACTGCAATAGTTGCAACTCCAAGTCTGATTTCCGCCTTCGCTTACTGACGTGGTGAGTACTTTCACATAGTTCCATAGTGGCTTATCATCGAATTGATTTGCACAAAGATTTGATGGTCGTTGAGGTGTTTCTAGTGTAGAGTTAGATGGATTCATTATTTGAAATTAGGAATATGCAAGATTCTAGAATTTTTTTGACTAGATGTTTGATTGAAGAAATATGTTCTTGTACAGGAAGATGAACTTGACTGAAGAAATATGTTGAAGATGATCTTGTGATTAATATGAAGAATCTGGAAGTCTGGTGCAAATATGTTGAAGATGAATAGAAATATGTTGAAGATGAACTTCTGATTTATATGAAGAATTTGGAAGTCTGGTGTAAATATGTTGAAGATGAACTCGTGATTAATATGAAGAATTTGGAAGTCTGGTGCAACTATGTTGAAGATGAACTCGTGATTAATATTAATATGAAGCTAATACGTCAGATTGCAATACGAAGCGTTAATACAGTAGTGAAGAATCTGGAAGTCTGGTGCAAATTATGGAAAAGGAAACTAATTGGCGGCTTGATTTCTGTATTCCCAATTTTAATTGTTAATTTCGATTAGTAATTTATTCTATAGATAATGTTTTGTCTCCCAATATTAATTGTTAATGGTTGGTTAGTAATTAAATATTCTATAATAAAGGTTAGGTTATCTGTATTACATTTTTAATTCGTTTTATTCAATATTCTTTTAGTTGGTATTAATTTTATAACTTTATATTAATTTTATTTACGTTATATTAACGAGATTTAACGTGGACTCGTTATAGTAATTTTAATTTAAAGATTAAATGAATTGGGATCACTATTTACAAATTTACGATTTTATGGTTAAGGGTGTTTAATGTGAAGTTGTGATCGTACTCTAAAAATAATAAGAACGACTAGAGTCGTGCATAGGCGAAAAGTTGATCGAGTAGTACGTAGATGAAAATTTGAAGATTCACCAATCTTTTACTTTACTTTTAAAAATAAAAATGAGTTGGGGTGGTCGATATGATCTAGTATATTTATGGCTTTACATTTAACATAAAGTTATGTGATTGCACTCTAAAACTAATAGGATTGATTAATGTCATGCATAGGTGACAAATTGATTGAGTTATATGTAGACGGAGATTTGACTACTCACCATTATATGTAGACGGAGATTTGATTACTCACCATTCTTTTTACTTTACGTTTAGAAATTAAGTGAGTTGGGATCGATATGATTTAGTATTTTTATTGTTAAGGGTGTTTAACATGAAGTTGTGTGGTCATGCTCTAAAAAGAATAAGATCAACTAGAATCATGCATAGGCGACAAGTTGGTCAAGTTGTACATAGATGAAAATTTGACTATTCACCAATCTTTTATTTTACTTTTAAAGATTAAAATGAGTTGGGATCAATATGATTTAAAATATTTATCATCAAGGACGTTTATGTGAAGTTGTGTGAGCGTAGTCTTAAAAGAATTAGATCAATTAGCGTTGTGCATGGATGACAAGCTGATTGAATTATATGTGGATAGAAATTTGACTACTCATCAATTTTTTACTTTACTTTCAAAGATTAAAATGAGTTGGAGCCAATATGATTTAGGATATTTACGGTTAAGGACCTTTATGTGAAGTTGTGTGATCATACGTTGAAAATCATAAGATCGACTAGCATCGTGTACAGGTGATAAGTTGATCAAGTTCTAAATAGATGGTGATTTAACTACTCACCAATTATATTATTTTATTGTGATAAAATTAACTAACTAATAATCGTTGTTGAAAAATGAACTCGTGATTATTGAAATCAATTTAAAAGTAAAGCCAAAATAGATTCTTTTCAAAAGTCTGTCTCATTTGAATTCTTTGTGAATACATTAACGATATGCATATAAGGTGTTTGTAAAAATTTAAATATGAATTCAATCGGTGCTTTATGTTAAAATTGTTGGAAATATAGAGGTGGTAATGAAATCGGATTATTACATACCGAATGTGTAGTTTAGATACCAATTTTAAGCATACCGTATATGTCACTTACCGTATTTGCAGGTAACTTATCGTATATGTAGTTTATCGTATTTGCAGCCTACAGTATTTTTAGGTAACTTACCGTATTTGCACAAAGTTTTCACAAACTGTTTTTATTCCATTTCATATATAGTGAGTTATTTACACATATTTGCTAGACACCATATATGCAACTAACATACTGGATATGCACTTACATACATCAAAATGTAGAAATATCGTATTTGCATATATTATCTATTAAACATATGCATAGAAGGCGTTTGAAAATTTAATTATGAATATGAATTCAAAATTTACTTTAGATTAAAAAGTGACATGATGATACTTTGTTTTTGTCTTGTATGTGAATTACTATGCTAAAATTTGAATGTGAAATACTCGTCACTTTTCTTTTCTTTTTTAAGTTTCGAACAATTTTATTTGTATTCCTTTTTTGTAGATTTAAAATTTTTTTATCTTTATTTGTTATGAAGATAAATATGAACAATTAAGGTTGTCAATTTGAAAACGATATGTCACGTGTCTACGTAGACAAATATAGAAATTAGTATATTTATTTTATGTAAAGAAAAATCCCATCTTATATGAAATGAATTTTGATATATTAAAATAGATGTACACATGCATCAACTTATCTAATAAGAATAATAATAACAATAAAAAAAAATAAAAGAGGACGGCACAACTAGTTATTGAAAATTGAAAATAATACACTAAGTAAACTCATCTTAAAATAAAATGAATTTCTTCTTTCATTTTTTTTTATTGGAAGAATACAGAGGACGGCCCAGGTTATTGAAAATTGAAATTCCTTCATTTCTTTAACTTCTTCATTGGGCTCCATAGAAGCCCATTTAATACACAATCACATCCTTTCATCTTCTTCAATATGTCGCCGTCTTTTTCAACAGGCCGTCTTCTCATAAATATTTGCATATTTCAATAAAGCGCTCGAAACAAATGGTTGTTGCCACTTCAAACGGAAGCCAGAAGCAATACTCCACTGTCCACTGTTTTCCCCCTTTTCCAGCCGTGTCCAAGTTCAAATCGAGAATCCGACACATATCCCGTGTCAGTATCCGTGTCATGTCGTATCGACACGGATACTTCGCCATTTTTGGAAAGTCCAAGCATCATAGCAGGAACATCTACTAGGGGAGTATGAGCTTCTATCTTGGCTCGCCAACTTCTCTGCACTATAAACCTCTAATGCAGAGGCTACCTATCCGCTTCCTTGTCTCCTACTCATAGATGGAAAGGTTCTACATTTCTTTCACTCGATATTCTCTTTCACTTACTTGAATGCCTAGGATTGTCATCTTACCAAAATAGTTATGGTGGGAACTATCAGTTCATCATGTTGGAAAAAATGGTTTAATGGGTCAACTTTGAGCCTCCAACAATGGTTTAATGGGTCAACTTTGAGCCCAAATTCCAGTGGGACCCACCTTTTAAATAATACGGGACCTAGCATATTCACGTTCTACTCCGCGAGATGATTAACGTGATATATTTATTTATCGAAAACCATTTAAAATTGAATGAAATATTAAGCGTTAAAGTAACCCACATAAACTAAGGATTATGGAAGAATTTGATTTGCCAAACACTTATCCCACATAGGAAAGTTAGGAAACTTTGGTGTGGTTTATAAGGTGGAAGTTTGGAATTGGGTTTGGGCCCCAAGGGGTACCAATAGTCTTTGGAAGGGGGAAGACCTATATCCTATTGAGTTCGGTCATAAACCCACACGCGCGCGCCGCCGCCGCCGTCCGTCAGACCGGCCGGCTCGGCACGGCCCGAGTCCGGTCCGGTGCGGGTCCGGGTCGACCTTTACACTATATTAACTTTTTGGACAAAATTTATTTAAATTTTTGGGCCAAATTGTAAATAATCAAATTCTTGGGTACAAAATGAAATTTAAATTTTGGCTTATTCCGGGTGTTTTATTTTCTTGTAACAGTCGACTGTTTCGACTGTTTACCGACCAAACAGTCGACTGTTTACCGACCAAACAGTCGACTGTTAGCCGACTGTTAACCGACTTAACAGACACGACTTTTAAGAACAGTATGTCTGTTCGGATTTTTGAGGCTTGTCTGAAAGGTGATGACTGTTCGAATGGCCACGAACAAGTCTATAAATAGCCAGCCTTTCTACCAGAAAATTTACACCATTTTCATTGCAAACTTTCTGTGCTTTGAATCTCATTTCCCTCTCTCTCGTTCTGATATTGTCTCGAAGTCAAAAACACTTCGTTGAGTTCGTTGGAACTCCTACAGACTGCAGTGCTGCTTCCGTAGGAGACGAAAAATTCGTTCTATCCTGGGAAACGATTGTTGGACGCCTTTAGCACCATTGAAGGCAGCAAATTCGTTTTAAGGACACATCGTGAAGTCGGTGGGCTCGAATTACAATTTCTGATCCTGTTGATCAATTCCTGCATTCAGGTAATTCTGTCGGATTGTTTTCGAAGGAGTGAATTCAAACTCTAGAAACAACACATCATGCTGTGCCAACCACTATAATCATAAGGGACAATGTATTAGTTCATCATGCCATGGCTTCAATTACTAATCACAAGGAGATCAATGAGTTCTATCATGTCATGTCTTCTATATATTGAATTTGTGCTGTGAAATTGGTGAAGCATGTTCAGCAGTGACAATTCAGACCCGATACCTTATCTCTAAGCCTTCATTTGCCTTCTTCATATTCATCCTCTTGCTTTAGTTCATCATGTAAGGCCTCTATATTCTTACTTTCATCAGAACCTCCTCTATTTTGCAAGTTTTGTACTTATCTAACTTGTCACAAGAAAAAAATTCCTTGAATTAGTAGCTGACACACTCTTTGTCGCATGGTCATTATGCAACCTTATACTATATTGCCTCTGCCTTATGCTAATTTTTTCCTGCAGGATTCGCATTTGTATATTTTGAGGATGAGCAAAATCTAAAGATGCCATCCGTGGTCTTGAAGATACTATGGAAGGTAAAGGAGTACCAAAAGAAGAAGGCAAAGGAGGCTAAGAAACTGGGCATAAATAAGAAGCCTAAATAGAGGACCTTGAAATCTCCAATCAATGCCCTTTGAGGAACATAAACTCCAAGTCCTCGAGGCTTGCTGCCAACAAGCCATCCAGGAGTAGGATGAGAAAAAAGATACTCGAAAGGAATGGATAAATCAATTTCATCCAAATTTTTTTGAGGCATTTGGTGCATTCCTTAATTGTAATATTTATCTTTTGCTAGATTTTTATTTTTTGTATTTGCCCATTGTTTGTGGAGAAAATTTACTAATCAAACTTTTCCATCCAGGTTTTGGAGACTCATAAGAAAAACAGAGACATGCTTTTCAACAAGGTATGTTTAGGGAGTGAAATTTAAGCATTCAAAATTTTCACCCTTCCCCATACTATCATTTTACTTGTATCATTATGTATTATCTCTTAAGCGGTGTATTAATTTGATAAACTAAAATAATGATTCTAGGTTGTTTTTTAAGTTAACTATATCGATCGAAGACCCGGAAACGTTAAGATGAAGCGTCTTCTTGGCATTGATGATGAAAATGCTGCTGTTAGGGATGAATTAGCCACTGCTTTCGTAGAAGCAATTCACATCTTTATGCACTTTAGTGTTCTATTATCTACAGTCAAACCTGCATGTGTTTCTACAACATTGTGTTTTTTGTACATAGTTGGTTTTATAATTTTCATAAGCCTAAAGAAATATTCAACTGACGAAAAGGTATACCATCATTTGACATAGTTTTCCCTTATGGAACACAAACTACATAGTGTTCTACAAATCATTATTTAGTTCAACTCATAAGGTCCGTCTATTAGAGTCTTCAAGACTCTTAGTATAAGAAAGATATGTTACTTGTTAGTCAAGACAAAGTCATAATTCACAGAAGTGTCATACTATTGAATTTGCAAATGAATTTGCCATACTATTTCTTATTAATCATACTATTGAATTTGCCAATGAATGATCATGCTACAAGAGTCAGAGCACATTACTTCTAACTGATTGATTTTTGTTTAATTTTATATTCTTTATTACTATCTACATTTATTGCTTTATACTTTCTATGAAGGAAATTGCGTTGTAAACTATCTGGCAACGGAAGTCTTGAGCTGCAGTCCTTTGTGATTGGATCTTTAGCTCAGCTTTTATGTCAACTTGCCAAGTTTGGATAGTTAGATGATGACAGAGTTGGAGATGCAGTTGAAGAATCAATTATTAACTCTTTGAACTAGGTAATTTAGATTTAAATGATGAAAAGATTCACAACCAACCATTTTCTATGCAAGCATTTATGTGCATTTCTTGAGCGATCATTTTAAACTCTTAAGGAACAATCTTCCTAACTAGCATAATAATCTTTCGTAAATCAATCGAAGAAGAAGTTTTGTGTGATGTATGTATTAGATCTTTTTGACTTCGTTTGAATATTGTCAATTTAAAATGAAGAATTTATTCAAGAGAAGGTATAGTTACAGTTTGTTTGGGAGCGATTTCTTGCCCCAAAAAATTAATTTTTGATCGTTATTTCACTATTCAATCTGTCATATTTGACTTCTTTTCTCACAGGTGGACTCCACTTTTCTTCTAACGGTCAAAAAATAAATTCTCAAAATCACTCTCAAACAGACTCTTAATTTTGATTGACTATGGAAAAAGATGGACATCATTGGCGCTGGACATCTATGAACATTTACTTTCTCTCTTCCTTGCCTTGATTCTGCTTTGACTAAGTTCTTGTAATTTAGTTGCTCATACTTATAGTATAATTCCTGATGAGATTTTTTTATGTACTAGGCAGCATCAAATCATTATGAATTGGTTTAAGGATATTAAATCAGCTTTTTTCTTCAATAAATCAGGTTAGATCTTTCAATATTTTGTCCAAGTTTTTCAATAGTTTGAAGAAACCAAAGTTCATAGAGGAATTGTAAACTGGAAGATGTGGAGAATTCTCTCTTTTCGCTTCAGCATAAAATTTTATGGAATCACGATTTTGCATTGTCACCTAATATTTACTGTTGAATAAATTAATGTTTCTTATATTTATAATAAACTCTAAAGAACAACATACGTGTGTGTGTGTATAAACCATTTTATAAATATTTTTCATGTTTACAAATAAATTTCTCGAAAATTTACATATACATATTTTTAACATTAACCATCTAATGTGTAAAGCACGTTCACCCCACTAATAATTAAAAAAGTCGCAAAAAGTTGTAACTCCCATAAAATGCAGGGTCAAAATTGAAATTTAACTAACGTATAAGCACTTAAAATCTTTGCCATCACTATACAATTGTAATCAAATATTGGGGATGAACTTATTTATATATATATTGCTGACCAACTTGCCATCGAACAATATGTTGAAGACCAATGTTGCAATTTTTCTTATTAATATACAGTCCTTTAGCAAATCCCTTATTGTTATTTTAGTGGGAGGAATATAGGGTTAACTCAATTGGTTTCTTATAGCATTACTAGACTACTCACTAGTCAAACCTTCTGAAGTTTATTTACGATAATCATTGCTCTATTAGGACAATATCGTTAACTATTAGACCTCTATTATTAGTTTATTAAGGTTTAAAAAGGTTAAACATTTGTTTAATACAGCTTATTTGAATATAATTTTTCATCGATAATTTTTAATCATATATTTTTTTAATAAAATAATTTTATATGTGAATAACATAAAGTTGTACTATATTTAATTATACATTCTTTAAAAGATCATTTTCACTTCAGACAACCTCTCTCAGAGTAAAACATTGAATAATTTGTGAGTCACTCAACTTTGAATGAACTTGTGTTGGGGTTATCAAACTTTATTTTGGTACAATCAAGTAATTGAAATTGAAATTTAAGCATGTTTGGCATGCTTAAATGATTTAAGTTAATCAAATATATTTTTTATTCACACATTTTCTAAGATATTTTATCCATATATTTTATAGGATACACAATTTCTGACCATTTCGTTAGCATTAGTAAACCTGTGCATTCTACATCATGAACTTTATGCTACACAGTCGAGAAAAAAGTAAGCTGTTTTTTATTTTTATTTTTATATTTTTGGCAAAGCAACAAGTTCATAACCAGTGACTTACAAATGAGTGAATTGGATAACTAGTTAAAAATTGCATTGACTCCTTCCTTATCTAATAATCTCAATCACTACTAATACAACACATTTATATCCTTTATTTTTATTTTTATTTATTTTTTATTTTTTTTAATAAATTATGATTAAAAACAGACCAATGTCTAAATTAAGTCCATATTTGATTTAGTTGAAAAAAAAGAGATTCAAATTGAGCTAAAAGTCCCCAATTAATCTTAATCACAAATTTTGTAAGATCTACAATTTTTTATCAATTTCTATTAAAATGTGTTAAAAAAAGTGATATTTATCCAAATCAAAACGTGGGCTAAATTATTTGATAATAGTAATACCTCCAAAATTACATATCGACGAGTTAATTGTTTTAATGGTCACTGAACTTATATTCATATTTTTGATTGGTCACTGAAATTTAAATGTTGAGTTTTGGTCACTGAACTTAAGTACATGTTTTCAAATACTCACTGAAATTTAAAATATCGAGTTTTAACCATTGAACTTTGAAAAATATTTATATATTACTCACTGTAAATTCGACTTTTTTTTTTTCAAATTTTAACATTTATATTAATGAGTAACATACAATATTTTTTAAAGTTCAGTGGTCAAAACTCGATATTTTTAATATTAATGAGCAATCGAAGACATGAACTTAAATTTAGTAATCAAAATTTGACATTTTAAATTTAGTGACGAATAAAAGGTGTAGATTGACTATGTCGGACGCACCTCTATATCTTGACAACTCTTCTCAACCCCTTATCTGTCTGAATCGTATAGTCGTCGAATAATCAAGTTCCATAATTCTCTCCGAAAATGAGGCGGTTGGCGAATTCGGCCAAGATAAACTTCAACGTCAAGTCCTAGAAGATCGATGTTGATAATAGAATCTCTCTCCGAAATTACTATCGCATCACCGACAATACCCTTAAGTAGGTCCGTAAACTAAACGTCTGTTTCTAATTGAAAAGATTTGGAGCCTCTTTTTCTTTCCATATGTTGATCAATGCTTATAAAGATTTCGTTTAAAATACCGGAATTGAACAGATGGGTTGTTGATTTTATTCTTTCAAATTAAATAGAGTTTTTGTGATGGTGGCAACTCAAAATAATCTCAATTCAAGCATTTACCAGTAATAACACAGAAATGACACTGAAAACTAACACCCAACGAGATTGATTGCACTAAAATAAAAGAAATTACAACCAGAGATGAAAGAGAAGAAAAGAGAGGGATATGGAGGAAGAAGACTTGGGAAAAGGAACTAAATCACGTCAAAAAATCAGTACCCCCATACTCCTTCCATCAGGTTATAACAGGTGGGGAGAGAAACGTGTTAAAGAAGTGATATTTCGCACTTCAAATTAAATACAAAGACTACCAAAACGACACCGTTGCTGGCATTCAAAAATTAGTTGCAGCCGTTATTTCCTTCTTCCTCCTTCCTTCATCTGCTATTCTTTCTTCTTCCTTCCTTCTTCTCTTGCTCCTTAGCTTCTTTTGACTCCACTTCCATGGATTCTCATCTCCCTCGTAGCATCCCTCCCTCTTAGACCAACCTTGTCCCCAAGGTTCAGATGAAAAAGATTATCTTGAGATTGGTGTTTCTGGAAGATCAAGGACAGGAACTTCTCTTTCACCAATCTTCTTCTTGAGTAATGAAACATGAAAAACACGATGAATTTGAGCCCCCGCTGGTAGTTCGACTTTATAAGCAACTTCTTCATTTCTTTGAATAACCTGATAAGGCCCGTAATACCTCGCTACCAATTTCTTATTCACCCTTCTAACCACTAAATTTTGAGCATAGGGGTGGAGTTTGAGGTACACCCAGATTCCTACTTGAAATGCTCTTTCACTTCTATGCTTGGCCGCATAGTGTTTCATACAAGCTTTAGCCTGTTCCAAATTTTCTTTCAGGATTTGATCCATTTTGTGCCGTTCTGCCAACAAGTCATAAACTGCTGTTACATTGATGTGCTGGTAAGACCCTAAAGCCAATTGAGGAGGTTTGATTCCATAAAGTGCCTCAAATGGTGTCATCCTAATTGAAGTGTGGAGAGTAGTGTTGTACCAACATTCAGCTAAGCTGATCCATTCGATCCAACGCTTAGGTTATCTATATACCATGCATCTAAGGTACATTTCCAAGCATTGATTTAGCCTCTTCGTTTGCCCATCCGTTTGGAGATGGTAGGCTGAGCTTAATTGTAGCTTAGTACCCATCTGTTTGAATAACTCTTGCCAGAAAGCACTTGTGAATATTTTCTCTATCTGAGATAATACTTTGTGGCATGCCATGAAGCTTGTCTATATTATCCAGGAATATTTTGGCTATAGAGGTGGCAGTCAAAGGATGTGATAGTGGTAGAAAATGGTGGTATTTGGTAAACCTGTCTACCACAACCAGGATGACATTTTTGGTTACAAAAGTAGGTAATCCCTTAATAAAGTCCATGGCAATATGGCTCGAGGCATATTGCGGTTCAGGCAATGGTTGTAACAGCCCAGGATATGCAACATGTTCTCCTTTGCATCTTTCGCAAGTATCGTTTTCTAAGACCTCTTGTTTAATCTCTTTCACTATACTAGGCCAGAAAAAGTGTTGTTTGGCTCTATGAATAGTAGCTCGTATCGCTGAATGTCGACCTTCTTAGGATGAATGTATAGTCCTAATTAATTTCCTCCTTACTCCAACCCCAGATGTAATATATATTTTAGATTGGTACTTGAGCATCCCATTCTTGTAAGTGAAATCTGTACCTAAATCTTATTAAGGAGTAATGCAGCTATCTTGCTCCTAGCCTCTTCATCCCCTTTATAGCTGGCAATGATTTCTTGAACCAGTCTAGTGTCATAGTAGTGATTGCTAAACACTCAACATCATCAGTGTTTTCCCTGCGAGATAGTGAATCAGTCACCTTGTTATCTACCCCATTTTTATGTTGGATTTCATAGCTTAGCCCAAGTAGTTTTGTTAGCCATTTCTGCTGTCGGGGTGTTCTTATCCTTTGTTCCAGCAAAAACTTAAGGGACTAGTGGTTTGTTTTGATGATGAAATGGTGTCCCTCTAGGTAGTGCCTCCATTTTCCAACAGCTGTCACCAATGCTAGCAGCTCCTTCTCATATATAGATAATCCCTAGTTCCTATTGTTCATTCCTTTCTTCAGATAAGCTATAAGTTTCTTGTTTTGCATCAGAACAGCTCCAATTCCCATGGAAAAATCTGGCAGTCTCAGAACAGGTGTAGTGCTCATGGCCGTCTTCAATTCTTGGAATGCCACATCAACAGCTTCATTCCAGTAGAACTTATCTTTTTTTAATAAATCAGTCAAAGGCCTGGCCATAGTTCCATAACACTTTACAAACTTTCTGTAATATCCAATCAAGCCTAGAAATCCCCTTAGCTGTTTGATGTTAATTGGTTTAGGCGACTTTTGCATTGCAACCACCTTTGAAGGGTCTGCAGCTATTCCCTCAACCGTAATGATATGTCCTAGATATTCTATTCCAGGCTGTCCAAAAGAACATTTATTCGCTTTGGCAAACAGCTGATGTTTCCTTAGCAGTTCTAGTACTTCAGCTACATGTTTACAGTTGGTTGCTAAGTTAGGGCTGTAGACTAAGATATCATCAAGGAATACTAAGACACACTTCCAGAATTTCTCTTTGAAGATTTCATTCATTAGGCATTGGAAGGTAGCTGGGGCATTGGTGAGCCCAAACGGCATCACTCTAAGTTCATAGAGTCCCTCATGAGTCTTGAAAATCGTTTTGTGAATGTCTTCTTCTGCTACTCTAATCTGATGGTACCTTGCTCTCAGATTAATCTTTGTAAACTATTTTGCACCCTTCAACTCATCTAATAGTTCATCAATCAGTGGCATGGGATATTTATCTTTGATAGTCAAGCTGTTTAATTGCCTATAATCCACACAAAATCTCCAAGTCCCATCTTTTTTCTTAACTAGAAGTATAGCGGAAGCATAGGACTATTGCTTGGCTGTATTATCCCATTCTCTTTCATTTCCTTGACCATTCTTTCAATCTCAGTTTTCTGTATGTAAGGGCACCGGTAAGGCCTGAGTTTAAAGGGTTGAGACCCCTCTTTAATTGGTATGTGATGGTCATTAAATTGGGGGGAGGTAGTCCTTTTGGCTCTGAAAATACCTGTGAAAATCTGTCCACCACAGCCTGTACTTCAATGGGCACTACTTTTGATTTTTTCTCACTACTGACAATGATTTGGGCTATCACCCGATATGTCTGGTTCTTAAACCAACTTTCTTCTTCCATCTCAGTCATCATCTTGAATTCTTCTTTAATAGTTTCATTATTTAATTCCATCTCAGTACCTTCATAAGTGAATTTGATGCTTCCTTTGTAGAAATCAAAGAGTACAGGGTTGAATTGGCTTAACCAATCTACTCTTAATACCATGTTACTTCCACCTAGTTTAAGGACCTTTAGTTGGTACTGAAATTCCAAGTTCTGCATCTTCCAAGTTAGTGGATTGTAGATAGCATCACTCATCAATTTTTCTCCACCTGCTACCGTTACTGTTATAGGTTTTATCGTTTGTATTCTGCATCTAAGATTGCAAGCCAATTGTTCATCAATAAAACTGTGTGTACTCCCACTATCAATTAGGATAGATATCCTCCTGCCTTTGATGTTCCCAAGTAGCCTGATGGTTCTAGTTCTATTACAGCCTATTAGAGCTTGAATTGAGATCTTTATGATCTCCTTTGGTTCCTTTCCTATTCCTTGTTCTTCTCATTTCTCTGGTAGTTCATCATCTTCCCCTTTTTCCTCTTCATCAACCAACATGAAGTTCAACATTCTATCTTACACATATGATCACGTGTGTATTTCTCATCGCATTTGTAACAAAGTCCTGGCTTTCTCTTGGTTTGAAAATTTGAAGGGGTAATGGCTTTGAATTTCAGGGGATGGATTGGGTTTTTTGGGTTTGATTCTGTATGAGGGTTGGTTTTGTAAGAAATCTCAGTTGTTTTGGCATTGGAGTGGGGCAATTTGTTTAGGGAATAAGGTTTATATGGTTTGGATCCTTTATTTATGGTAGTAATAGTAGTCTCCTATAATAGAGCTACCTCAAAAGCCTTGACTAAAGTTGTGGGTTTAATGATCGTTACCATAGACTTGATCTCCTCTTTCAAGCCACTAGTAAAGATAGAGGTATAGTACGTTTCAGGTAGGTTAGGAAGTGAGAGCATCACTTGAGACTTTAATTCCTCAAATTGTTCTTGATATTCAACAATTGCCTTAATTTGTTGAAGACCTCAATCACTTCTTCAGCTGTAGCTTCTGTGAACCTTCTAAATATCTCAATGGAAAAGAATTCCCAATAAGCCTCTGAATAACTGGTGATAAACCCATGAAACCATATATCTGCTTTGCTCTTCAAGTACATCTTTGCAATTCCTATTTTCATTTCCTCCGACACTTGGTGAATCTGAATGTATTTTTTTTTTGGCTTTCCTCGGCCATTCCCTAGGCCCTTTTCCCTAAAGTAAGGAAAATCTATCTTTGGGTGTTTAGTATTCACCTGGTAATTAAACTTACCACTCCCCTACGTAGGTGAGTCTCCTGTCACAAAACTCAATAATCCACCACTAGACAAAGCTGGATTTGGGTGTTCTTCTATATGAATCCCTTTACCATTCCCCTGAGTTGAGGAATTTCCTGCATCAGAGTTCAGTGTCCCTCCACTCATCTTGGCCATCATGCCCACAATATTTTCAAATTTACTATTCATATCCATCATCAAACTTTCCAATTTATCTTGCCTTTCACTGCCTAGTCTGTACTCTGGTAAACCAAGCTAAGATCTCCTAGCTCCTTCTCAATCCTTTTAACTTGCTCTTCATGGGTTTTACTACGGGTATCCATCTTCCCAGCTCACGTACTGCTCTGATACTAGTTGTGATGGTGGCAACTCAAAATATCTCAATTCAAGCACTTACCAGTAATAACATAGAAATGAAACTAAAAACTAACACCCAACGAGATTAATTGCACTAAAATGAAAGAAATTACAACCAGAGATGAAAGAGAAGAAAAGAGAGAGATATGGAGGAAGAAGACTTGGGAAAAGGAAATAAATCACGTCAGAAAAATAGTACCCCAGACTCCTTCCATCAGGTTATCACAGGTGGGGAGAGAAACGTGATAAGAAGTGATAAAATGCACTTCAAATTACAAATACAATGACTTCCAAAACGATACCGTTCCCTGGCCTTCAAAAACCAGTTGCAGCTGTTATTTCCTTCTTCCTCATTCCTTCATTTGCTGTTCCTTCTTCTCTTGTCCTTTAGCTTCTTTTGACTCCACTTCCATGGATTCTCATCTCCCTCGTAATAGTTTTGGCTCTCTATTTTTTGATATGATACATGCTTAGCTTATCTGTAGTTGAAAAATACTAAAAATGCTTGTTATTTCTTTATATTTTGCTAGAATTAGTAGTTCTTTTGCTTTCATTTGGTTAGTATTTATATGATGTTTTGAAATACAGCCATTAACTACAACAAATTTGCTTGGATTTAATTTGTTTCCAAAAATTGAGTCCTTGGCTTATGAGATTTTATTTGCAGGCGAATATTTATAGGGAGGAGAAAAGTCCAATAGACTTGTATGTAATGCTTCTTAGATACTCAGGTAAATGCACATGGATGCATATAAACTCATTGCTTATTTCATTTATGAAGTTATAGCATTTTATTAATGATGAGTGATATAACTTATTAGAAGTTGGTTATTAGTTAGTTAGCTGCCAACTGTATATTAGTTGTTAGTCCATTTTACCAGCTGTATTTTCTTCACATTTTGGCGCCTATTTATATCTTGTAAAGTCACGACATTTGCATGAAATAATATTCCAGAATTTTCCTCATACTCTAATATGGTATCAGAGCAAATCCTCCCTGTGCTTACCTTTCTTTCATCCCCTTCATGTTCGTGATTTCCCTTTGCAATGGAGCCAACACAATCTGATTATACATCTGAATCACATTCATCCACGAGCAAATCAGCCATTGATAAATCGTCAAGTCCATATTTCCTGCATCATTCGGACAGTCCAGGTTTGTTACTGGTTTCTCAGCCACTTATAGGAGATGACTATGCCTCCTGGAGTCGTGCCATGATGATCGCCCTTTCGATGAAGAACAAACTACCATTCATTGATGGATCATTGAAGAAATCGGAGGATACGAATCCTGATTTGATTAATTCGTGGATCCAAAACAATAACATGGTGATGTCGTGGATTCACAACTCAGTTTCCAAAGACATTTCAGCAAGTGTTATATATGCATCCACTGCTCACGAGATCTGGAATGACCTGAAGGAAAGATTTCAGTAGAGCAACGGGCCAAGGATCTTCCAATTGAAGAAACATCTGATTAATTTGGCTCAAGATCAAAACAATGTGAGCATCTAGTTCACCAAACTGAAGACTATATGGGAAGAGTTGAGCTATTTTTGACCAAATTGCAACTGTGGAAAGTGCACATGTGGCGGTGTAAAGAAATTGAATGAATACTATCAGATGGAACATATCATGTCCTTCCTTATGGGGCTGAATGACACCTTTTCTCAGGCTCGTGGTCAGATCCTTCTCATGGATCCCATACCACTAATCAATAAGGTGTTTGCACTGATTTCACAGGAGAAAAATCAGAAGAAGCTAAACACACCATCCACCAGGAATAATGCATATGGTGCTGCTGCATTTGCCTTAAAATCTGACAATACAAGGACAGTATCTAGTCCTAGAATCAGTGCCTTTGGAAACCTCAAGAAGAAGGAGAGGCCCTACTGCACTCATTGTAGATTTCATGGACATTCGGTGGACAAGTGTTACAAAATTCATGGGTATCCACCAGGATACAAGCCAAGGCCGAAGGACAATTTCCAAGGCTACTCCACCTCCAATCTAGTAAATCAGATTTCACTTAACACTCAGATGAATCAGCACTCTGGTATGGAAAATTTTATGCAAAATTTGAATCCTGAATAGTATCAACAGCTAATGAGCGTACTATCCAACCATCTGACTTCACGCTCCATTGTTAATGCTGCTGATCATGATAAGCACACCACCTCATGTGCTGCCTCGGTATATGTCATTCTATGTCAATGACTCCCATCTTTACTGATAAAAGTATTTGGATTGTTGATACGGGGGCTAATAAACATGTTTGTTCTACTGCTGATGCGTTTTTGAACTTAAGACCAGTCAATGATGCAAGTATTATTTTGCCAAACCACATACGTATATCAGTTAGTCTATGTGACGATGTCAAGTTGAGCAATACTTTGGTGCTGCGTGATGTCTTATATGTGCTGCAATTCAAATTTAATTTGATATCGGTTAGTGCATTAACTGTTGACTCTCAGCTCATCTTGAATTTCTTTCCTGATTGCTTCATTATTCAGGAAGCTTCAACCAAGAAGACGATTGGCAAGGGTGATAAATTTTAGGAGTTATACGTACTTGACACTAGAAATCTTAACTCTATTACACATGCTTTTGTCAGTAATGTGTCTGCACACATATGGCACAATTGTCTTGGTCATTTGTCTTTCAAAAGATTAGATATCTTGAAAAATCAGGTAGCTTGTGATATATCAAAATTAAACAAACATCTTCCATGTTATGTGTGTCCCATTGCTAAGCAAAGGAGATTATCCTTTGAATCCAATAACAAACTTTTTAGCAAGCCTTTTGATTTGTTGCATTGCGTATATGGGGGCCATATCATATTCAATCACACTCGGGACATAAATATTTTTTGACTCTAGTTGATGATTGTTCAAGATTTACTTGGATATATTTGCTACGCCAAAAATCTAATGCTAAGAATGCTGTACATCGATTCTTTAACATGGTCACCACTCAATTCAATGCCAAAATAAAAGGCTTCAGATCAGATAATGCACATGAGTTGTCCTTTACAGATTTTTTTGCTGAAAAGGGGTCTTACATCAGTTCAGCTATGTGGAGAGACCACAGCAAAACTCGGTTGTAGAATGACAGCATCAACATCTGCTAAATGTGGCTCGTTCTCTGTTTTTACAATCCAGAATTCCAATATCTTTTTGGTCCGAATGTGTCCTAATAGCGGCATATCTCATCAATAGAACTCCTTCCCCCATCTTACAGCATAAAACACCATATGAGGTTTTATATGGCAGTCCAGCTACTTATTCTCATCTTCGAGTATTTGGCTGTCTAAGTTTTGCTTCCACATTAACTGCTCACAGAGATAAATTCCAACCTCGAGCTAGGCTGTGTGTATTCATAGGCTATCCAGCTGGTGTTAAGGGATATAAATTTCTTGATGTAGTATCAAAACAAATCTTCATCTCACGAGATGTAGTTTTTCATGAAGAGATCTTTCCTTTTCACACTGTAGTAGAGGCTGATCGAATGCTTGATCCATTCCCTGATCTAGTCCTACCTTTACCTATAATATCTTCCCCAGTTGAGAATATCAATCCCCAGCCACATCATATTCTTAATGAAACTAATGAACATGTTGTCCTTGATCCTTCTGAAGCATTCCTTACATCCCCTTTGCCTACCTTCTCACCAACTACAACCGCATGTCATGATCTTAGGAAATCCACAAGAATGTCTAGACCTCCCAAATACCTTCTTGACTATCATTATAATTTGATATCTCATTCTGGTCAGTCCACTAATCTCCCACCACTTGACATTGGTCGTTTCCTTTCATATAATCGTTTATCTGAACCTCACAAAAATCTGATCCTTAACATCACATCTCATCTTGAACCTCAATATTTTCATCAGGCTGTCAAGTTTCCTCATTGGCGTGATGCCATGAAACTTGAATTGGAAGCCTTAGAAACCAATCATACCTGGTCTCTTGTAACCCTACCACCTGGAAAACACACTATTGGATGCTGGTGGATTTATAAGAACAAATTCAACTTAGATGGTTCCCTTGAAAGACACAAAGCCCACCTTGTTGCAAAAGGCTATACACAACAAGAGGGGCTGGATTACTTTGACACATTTTCACCAGTGGCCAAGAGTGTTACTGTCAAAGTTATCCTAACTCTTGTAGCTCAATATAAATGGCACTTGTCTCAACTGGACGTCAATAATGCCTTCTTGAATGGTGATTTGTTTGAGGAAGTGTACATGGACCTTCCCTTAGGTTATGATCTCCTCAGGCCACACAATCAGGGGGAGAAATTGGTTTGTAAACTTCACGAGTCCTTGTATGGACTTAAACAAGCCTCTCGACAATGGAACTCAAAATTCACTCATGCCTTTATGAGACATGGTTTTCATCAGTCTAAAGCTGATTATTCTCTATTTACTAGTGGGCCAGGAGACAATTTTGTGGCACTTCTTGTATATGTGGATGACATTGTGCTAACAGGGCCTAACTTGCAAGTTCTTGAATCAGTCAAGGCCTTCTTACAATCCCAGTTCAAGCTTAAAGATTTGGGATGTCTGAAATATTTCCTGGGTATTGAGATTGACCGGTCCTCTTCAGGGATTGGCATTTCTCAGAGGCAATATACCTTGCAATTGCTTGAAGACACAGGATATTTAGATTGTAAACCAGCAAGCTGTCCCATGGACACAAAGGCAAGCCTCAGCATGCATGAGAGTGATCTTCTTCCAGATGCTTCTCATTATAGAAGACTAATTGGTAAGCTTATTTACCTGACCTTATCCAGGCCTGATATTGCATTTGCAGTCCATAAATTAAGTCAATTTATGTCCAAACCACGGCTGCCACATCTTAAAGCCATCCACCATCTCCTGCGGTACTTGAAAGGTAGTCCTGGACAAGGTCTACTCTTTCCATCTCAGAAATCTCCTGGCTCATCCTTCAACATTCGAGTCTTCTCTGATACTGATTGGGGGTCGTGTGTTGACACTTGTAAATCAACTACTGGCTTTTGCATCTTTGTTGGAGACTCTATGGTCTCTTGGAAATCTAAGAGGCAGCCAACCATTTCCCGATCTTCAGCTGAAGCGGAATATAGAGCACTAGCATCCACTGTCAGTGAGCTTATTTGGATTACACAGCTTTTGAAAGATCTCCATGTCTCGATCACAGCTCCTGCCATTCTTTATTGTGATAATCATGCTGCCATTTAGATTGCAACCAATTCCCTTTTTCACGAACACACCAAACACATTGAAATTGATTGCTATTTTGTTCGTAACAAAGTCTTAGCTGGGGTGGTCAAGCTTCTCCCTATCAGATCCAAACATCAAGTTGCAGACATATTCACTAAGCCTTTACCTGCTTCAGTTCTGATCCCCTTAATGTCCAAGATGTGCATTAAAGACATTTACTGCACATCTTGAGGGGGAGTATTAGAAGTTGGTTATTAGTTAGTTAGCTAGTTATTAGTTAGTTAGCTGCCAACTATATATTAGTTGTTAGTCCATTTTACCAACTGTATTTTCTTCACATTTTGGCTCCATTTTGGTGCCTATTTATATCTTGTAAAGTCACGACATTTGCATGAAATAATATTCCAGAATTTTCCTCATACTCTAATATAACTTGAATCTGAGTAGTTTGGTGCTGGAAACTATACCTCATCATCGAGATTATCATGCTTTATGTCAAAAAGAAAAATTGTTTGCCAAAAAGGTAAGTATAGTGTTGTAATATTTCTGTCTACGTATTTTGTGTGATCTCTTCATTTTTGGCTGATACCATGTATTTTTGCCTTTTTTCCTGGGGTTGTAGAAGTTGGTTGCAGTGCTATATGAGCTAGAGACTTTTAAGCCACTAGTGCGTCGATTAGATCTACCAGAAAATGCTAACACCACATCTCAAGTGCATCAGATTGATGGCCAAAAACTGATTCCTGATGCATCCACGAGGTCTTTATTGCCTGCATTGAATTATAAACCTTTCTTAAGCTACAATAATAAACGAGTATTGAGTACGACCATATATTACTTCTGCATGAGTCCTCAACTTACAACAAATTGTTATACGAACTCTAATAAACTAGAAAATGAGAATGCACAACACATTGTTAGTTTTCTCCCTCTGAACACATATTTGCAGAAGTTAGGTGTTATATCTTTCTTTTAAGATACATCAAAACCATATTGCTTTTTCCTTCTTTTAAGTGATGGCACGTATTCCAGCTATTCTCCTTTCATTGGGAATCTCTTGTTGACGTAATTTGAAATTTATAGAAACTTTGAATACTTTTCTTCATGGGTGGACCCAAGGTGGGTCACTTAACCCCCCAACTTTTGAGATTTTCCTTTTTTTTTTATTAAGTCATGCTTGGTATTGATTGAAATTTAAATTTTAATCTAAATCTTAATAATCAATTTTAATAACATATTTCTTGGATTCCTTAACTTCTAAAATTTTATCAAAATTTACTAAAAATCTGACTTTAATCTATCAAACAGAGACAAAATCACAATAAATTTGAATTTTCTCTCTTTTTTATTGCTCTATCGTATTCTCTATCACAAGCCTTTTATCAAAATCTTAACTCTTCTAATTTTTTAAAATTTGTTTATAATTTCTTTGCAATTATCACATCTACTACAAATTTTCACTTTTCAATCAAATTTTCAACTAATTAGAACCTAAATTTGCATTTTTTCCTGTCCTATTTGTGTATATAACATGTGTCTAAACTAATTATATAAAATTTAATTTATATATAGCAAATTGTGTTTATTTTACTGATTATTAGTATTGAATATTGGTTATTTATTTTTTCTTTCGATTACTTGAATTGATTGTTTGTATCAAATACACAATTTTCTAAAACATAAATATGCATTTTCTTGTGATGAACAAAATATTAATAAAATTATTGTTCAAAATCAAATAGATGAAGATGATTAGCAAAATATTAATGAAGAAATATTTTTGAAATGTAAATCTACATTTTTTCGGGTCAAATATGAATCATTCAAAAATAAAAAACAAAGTATTTAATTTGTACAAAGTTTCATTGTGCTCCCCTAACTCAATTTCTCTACGTCCGCCGCTACTTTTCTTTTCAACCGCATGGAATTATGATTATACATGTTATGACTTTTCATATATCCTAATAGGTTATTCTGATGTACTCTATAGTACGGCCATTCTCATGCATTTACTCTGTCCCGTCATAATGAATACCATGGCTTGACCAGGCATGAAATATCTAGGTTGGTGTTAGGAAGATGTTGGCTTTGTACTTGAGAGGTGAAGTTGACCTTGCCAACTTCTGATTTTTAAGTGTGATAGGTGCAATTATTTTAGTGAGGATAGCAAAATAACTTAAAGTGTTTATTCCAGGGGAATAGTAATGAATTTGGGATTTCTTGCGAAGGAAATAATTAAAATCAATATGATTAGGATGAGAATTAACTTCTTTGGATTGATAGTGCGTTTTAGTTAATGTGACAGAAAATTATATTTTAGTTATTGCAGTTTACTTAATTTGGATTTAGAAGTAAAATATTCAAGTAGAAGAATCTTTAAAAGCTCCATTATGGTGTGTGTTTATGGTGGTTTTTTTTGGTAGACAACAAGTTCATTAGAAGCCGTCCCTGGTCTTGCCTTTTGACTAGGGCATTGTCTTGTCTACTTGCTCATAAGGGATATCACATTATGGTTCAACATCTCCACACCAAATGCACACAAACACCCCCGAAATTTGGAAAAAAAGTAATGCTAAGCTAGTCAAATGCGTTAGTTTGTCAATGTCTACTCTTTTATCGTCCTTCCTCTTACCTTCATATCTTCTGTGCAGTTGTCGCCAGTCACAGCTCCTTCATCTACATTGAAACAGAATAATGAGAATACTCGAGTTTCATCATCGTATTCCATTGACACTCAGTTTCAGAAGTTGTGAGTATGTGTAATGAAGACATTCTTGTTTTAGATTTTGAAATCTGTCAAAGTTGTATTTGATAATGTATTGCCACTGTAATTTGTAGAGGGTTTGTATAACTTCCTTTCCTTAATTTAACATACAACTATTGCTGCAAAAGAGATGATAGTTCTATCTTTGAAAATGTCGTTTGTATATGTCAATTTATATTTGAAGTGCTAACACAACAACCCGGTATTTAAAGCTCTACTGTTTTATTATTTATTAGACTATTAGTGCAAGCATTAACTGATTTTAACCTTTTCTCTGATTTCTACTTATCTGTGTTGTTTACCAAAAAGCTCAACAATGATCAATCTGCTTATTGTGCTTCCGTTCAGGGGTTGAAAAGTCCTCTATCTCTTCCATATTTGTAAGAACAATTGCCTTTACTCATCATTTGGGTCTTGTATTGAACCGTGAATCAATTTTTAAATTTTCTATTTATCCAACATTCTATATAGAGTTTTTAAATTTCTCTTTGAATTTATTCTCTTAAATGCCTCTTAATGAAACAATTTAAACTGGTGTTGCTTTATTTCATCTTATTGAATATGTAATGCCTTGAGAATTGCTTAATCTAACCTTTATATCATGCCGAGTTTAGTTATTACATCTTTGAATGAAATAGAGAAACAGACTAATATGCACACTTTGTAAGGACATAATGCCATTACTTTATGGATAATTTTGTATCCACCGTAGTTTCTTTTGCTAGAGTAGACATTCAACTATTTGCTGGTGCTTTGTTTTGTCCATGTGCCTGGTTGACAAGGCATGATCAGATGATGGTACTACTCATTCCTCGAGGTGGCGCAGCCTCCATCTTATTGCTTGTTCTTTGGGTAATGTTTGAATATAACATCTTTATTTCTACTCAGAAAAAATAACATTCAAATTTGATGAGCCTTAGTTGCAAGACATTTAAGTTGACTTTATGGACATGGCCATATTGGTGAGTGAATACTTATGAAAGAACAATGCTCACGTAAATGAAGCTTTTCTGGATATTTTCTGGCTCTCACTAGCATGAAAATTTACAAAATGCTTGTTTTACTGGTATATTGACTTGAGATTTTCATCAACGTTTGTGACGAGGATTTATGGAAAGCTATTGTGTAACTTTCTTGAGCTAAATTAATATTCTGATGAATGTTAGTAGTTACTTTTGTTTAAAGGGAAAGTAATATCTTCTGTTCATGCAGTGTGGATGAATTAGAATGACTTTGCCTCAGGAATCTCAAGATTGGATCAGTATTCTTTCGATAATAATCAGTAAAATTGAAAAATAGATCCCCAAGGGGGCTTACAAATTTTCCTAGCATTGAAAGTAGTTTTGATGAACAAACTCTTCCAACATGAATAGTAATTGCCTAATGACACCACTTAAGACGAGGTTTTTTTGCCTTATATTTCAGACTCTTATAATCTTGCCCATAGTTCCTCACTACATATGTGGTCTTAGCTAGTGTGTAAGTTTGTCCTTAATATTCATGATAATTTCTTGTAGAGAAGTTCACATTTGCAACATGCTTGACTAGCTCTTACTGATGCTTTCTTCTGTTTTAGTTCATCTTATTACACTTGCTAAGTGCTTGTGTCTGTAGTTCCATCTAAGTCTCACTGTCATGTTTTTTAGTTTGACAAATAACTTGTAAATCAGAACATCAAGTCTTCAGATAATTCAGTTACACTAAGCGAGCTACAAATACTAACATATTCTGGAAATTTTGCAGATCTCTTGGTGTACCTCTTCCAAAACAGGAAACATTGTCCAGGCATTCATTTTTAGGCCCAAATGGTCTTCATAATCAGTGGCAGGGGCCTAGTGCTGATAAAAAGGTGGAAACACTGGACTTTCTTTTATTCATTGGATCCACTCTTTCCCATTTAAGAAAGTTGTTTCATTCCACTGCACTTTATTATGTTGATCTCTATTTTATTTGTTTAATTCTATTTGCATGCACATAGGTTAACTATCCGACCAATATTGTCCATGATTTGAGTGAAATTTCAAGGTGAGAATCTTATCATGCTTAAATGATTGCTATCATTTTATCCCTTGTGATTCGGTGTTTAATTCTTTTTGGGGTTTAAGTAATTGCTATCTTTCTGTTTAGAGTAATGATGACAGTGTAGTGTCTTATTTGAAGATTGATTGCTTTTTAAAATAGTACATTATAATAAATTGAAGTTTGAAAACTTGGAAGGGTCGTCCCTGTGTATGTATATGTGTCTCGATATCTGTAAAACACTATAAATTATTTTGATATTGTACATGCATGTGTTGGCTTGTTTACTGAGTGTTAATTGCTTTTAACACTGAAAATTTTCACTATGCTATAGCCTGAATCAGGTTGGACAATATGAACCCATGGCAACAAAAAATAACAACTCAGAACTGGAAAAGTCAACTATGGAGTCCGTTCTATCTTTAGATGACGGAAGATGGCTAAATCCTTCTGAAGATCCTGGTTCTTTAGCCGAGGAAACGATGAATGAGAATTATAAGTTCGAAAATATCAGGCAACCTTCGCCACCTCCCATTCTTGCACAAGTGCAGCCAGAGCTTCTTCCTATCTCTCCATCAAGGGTTGCTGATCCAAGACCTGGACCACCACTTTCTAAGGATGGGTTGCCCAGTTTCAATTCATATCAAGATCTTCACATTGTCAGTCTGTTGTCTTGATTTTTAACTTGAATTTTCAGATGATAATTCCACTATTCTGTTAAATATTTTATGACATTACATTTTTCATTGTTTTTGATAAATCATGTCTAATATTTAATCATATGGCCTAATGTGATGCCCTTTGCTTATATTGCAGCCAGTGAAGATGATGGCAGATTTTTTGAGATTGGAACGAGAAAATACTAGAAAAAACTTGGAAACTTGTGGTGTTCTCGCTGGTTCACTAGTAAGAAGTCTAGTTCCCTTATATTTCTTTTAATGGAAGAATGAAGGTTTACTTTAAGCACTTAATTTGCGAATTATCTAATATATTTTGTATTTAACTTATTTGCAGCGAAACAGAGTATTTCATATTACGACACTCATAATTCCGAAGCAGGAATCAACTTCAGATTCCGTAATACTCTTCAAGTAATATTTAAGCTTTCTAATTCCCATGCTCTTCCATCCCCATCCCACACACACCAAACAATAAATAATAAATTCATCTGCAGTCCCCTTCAAACAGTACTTTTTCTCACCTTTTTGTAGAATTTGCCTTCTGCACCATTTGGGTAGTAGTTTAAGTCCTGAAATCTGAATATAAATATAAATATTTGTTAAATAGAGTGGATGAATTTTGTCACCTAGAAATAATTGAGTTCTTTATTTGGTATGAAGTGGTGTTACAAAGAAAACATTTCTAGTTAGTCCCCTCTACATAGCTTTAAATCAGCACTCATTTTCCATTGTGCAAATAATTATATTAGATGGCCCATGTTTTTGGACCTGTCAGTTTTAAATGTTATAACATCATTATAATATTGCAGTGTAATGTAAAAATGCTTGCTAACTTCAATAATCTAATTTACATTTTTGGAGCTAGTTCTCATGAAACTTTATTTATTGATCGCAGTGACAACTCATTGATTCTTTAATTTTATTAATGTTCAGTGCCATGCATTGAATGAAGAAGAACCTTTTGAGGTTCATGGAATATTTCACCTGTCTGATCCTGGTGGTGTTTCTGTTATGCGAAACTGTCAACAGCGTGGTTTCCATCCTCATGAGGAGCCCGAGGATGGAAGTCCCATTTATGAGCATTGTTCCCATGTGTATATGAACCCCAAGTTGATGTTTGACGTGATAGATCTTCGGTGAGTTTGCATTTTTTGGGAAGGTATTTAAAGAAGCAATTATTTGATGAATGATGAGAAGGAAAATGTACATGTTTAACCTTTTCCTGTGACAGTCTCTTTTATGGGATTATGTGAATCGAAAGTGATTGAAAAATCGAGAAAATTCAAATTTATTTATTTGTTATTATTATTATTATCATTATTATTATTTTTTTACAGCGGTGATGAAATACTATGATTAATTACATGGCAAGTGATGAACTCATTTCTTTCGTATCCGAGTAACTAGATGTGACAAACAAGGCTCGGTCCTTGAGATGAGGTTTTTAAAATTACATTAACTTGATTTGAAATGAGAACAGTATACTATTTCCTAAACACCTCACCTTGGCATTTTCTGATTCACAGTATTATATGATCTGTATTTGTCCCGAATTTTGCACAATGACTTGAACCATAGAGGCCACAATGTAACAATCTTTAGTTTTTCAAGCTTTTTTGCAGTACTTAGATTGATCCTTGTGGTCTAAGTTGAGTTAAACTTTTACAATTTGCAGCACTATTTCAAAATGCAACTTTAATTCTTGGGGAAGCATCGTCTTAAATTTATAAATTTTGTAGTACAGTTTGGTCCCGAAGGATGGATTGGGTCAATTTCATAGTGGAGTCAATTTTTTCAATAAAAAATTTCTTTTACACAAACATTATCATACTGTTGCATTTGTGGTCCATTTACTTAAATAAACATTAAACCCTGTTTGATTTATTTGAACATTAATTTTGATAAAAACTAATGGAATGTATGGTCAAAAATTTGTGGGTTCGATGGTTAAAATTAATTGTTGATTTTCATTTAGATTTTAATCTTTTTTTTTTAGTTGAACGAAATATGGGTTAAGATGTGAATAAAAAATATTCCAAAAATTTATCAAGAATTAAAATAAGGATAAAGCCCCTTAGTCAGATTGAAAAACATGTAGTGAAGAGACAAATTGATGTGTAAGAAAATGAATGAGTGTTTTTGTTTTAATTTTTCAAATTGTCCAATCATGCGTTGTCACGCGTTTCATTTGGATTTGAACTAGATGTGTAGTATGATTGTTAAAATAACATTAAAACCATAATCTTATAAGGAAAAATTACCATTTGTCATGGAAGTATTTTACAAAAGCTTCATACTATGATATACGGATAGCAACCTTGACATAAATATACATATTACTTGAATTTGGATGTGAATAAAGCAAACACAGCAAATTATGGAATAAAGATGTATATACAAATGACAAGTGGTCCTCCTATTCAACTAATTCAATCATTTTCGAGCATCTTCGAGGAAAAAATTAAAGAAACGAAAACTAACCTCATCCAGAAAGGAAGGAAGGTCAAAAGCACGAGCACATTTATAGTGTGCAATGAAAATGACTCGTCTAATTAATAGCCATGCACAATGGAGGAATATTTACTCTTGGCCCAACGGAAGCTGTTACGTATAGAAGCCTTCACTTTGCCTTCAACGGCATACGCCTTGTAAGAGATAATCCTTTGTTTTCTCTTCATTGCTGCGTTACTAGATTGCCATGTCGATACTGTGTAGGATGGGGATGATGAGGTGCGTGGATAATCCGTTGCATAATAAGCAGGGTGGCTCGGATTATGAGCTTCTATGGGTTCGTAGCGCCATTTCTGTGGGCAGTACTCATCCATCTCTCTTATCTTTCCCGGAGAAATATGGAGATGGATGAGAGAGACGGAAAGACGAGGGGAGCTAAAAAGGGTGAGGAATCAATGGTGAACGGTTGAAATGTAGAAATTTTTTTGGTCTCTCCAAATATAATTGTATATGTGGGATTACAACTGAATAGGAGAGTCCAATAGTGGTGAGAGAAAGAGAGAGCTCCAGATGGGACAACCTCAAATTTCTCGAGTTTTAAGGTAGAAGGTATTGTTGGGAATCTACTTATCATGCGCAGCGGAAAATTAAAACGGATTTTGATTTTTACCAAGGATCCCTGTATGTTTAGATGAAAATTGTGATAGAAATTGTACATTTTGCAAGGTCTGCAAACTCTTTTGCTATTCTTTCGTTCTAACGATCTTGATTCGTCATCCATAGCTATTCAATTTTTCAACATCCAACGGTGATCCACAAAGAGAACAAGATTGTAGGATTATGATTTTCTTTCTTGTGTTAGCAAGAATGAATTATCTACAGATTTTGAAAACCCTACTCATATTTATATAAGCCCAAACAGGCTTGGCTTGACCCGACCCGATCCAATATTTAATTAACCCATTTAATTAAATTCGGTCCGTGAATTAATTAATTGGATTAATTAATTTATGCCTATAAATAAACAACTCAATTAATTAATTTATCAAACACTTGTTAAATTAATTAATTGATAAATCACAATCTTCCAGTTCTTCTTTTGTGTGCGACCCATCAGGTTCCCGATCACGAAATCTAACGACGTGAAATATTATTTTGATCTAATCAAAATTGATAAATTAAAACACCCTTTTAATTTATAACTAATTCACACTCGTCGTCCCAAATTAACATCTAGCAATGTGTTAGGGTAAATTGTAATACCAGATTTAGGTATTATTCAGATTATCACTTTCATGCCCCTTAACTTCTATACTCATTATAGAATGCTTAATGTTTAGAATATAAATGTTATTTTGTAGCTTACTATAACCATTAAGATCTTTAATCAAGATAAGCAGGAAAAACAATTGTCCTTAACATTAAAATAGTTCTTGTCTGAACATGAAATTCATTTTAATGTTCTAGTTATGGTGGTTACAAAGCAACATTTTTCTAATTCCAATACTAAGCTAAAAGGCAATGGCAATAAGTAGGCTCTTATAGGTAATGCAGCAACATTTGCTCATTTTCAACATGTAGGTCAACTTTTATTTAGTTTCTCCATATTTGTATAAATATGAGATTCACATCTAGTATCAAATACCTAAACAACTCATGAAGTAGACGTAAGCCTTGTAATATTATTCCAATGACCTTTCATTCTATAATGAAAGCAATGGTCATTAGATTTGGTATTGTCCTTCACTTTGACCATATTAGCCGTATTGGATACTTTCCCAAAGCTCCTTTTTTATTTCCTCTTAATACCCTTAGAGAAATCAATGCTTGCCTACTACTAACTTTGATATTGGGCTCAATAGTCTTAAGTATGTTCAGCAACTCAATGAGTGTGCATTTGAGTTTTTTCATATCATAATTCATAATTAGTATGAATAACTCTTTGACAGAGATTGCAGAGCTAAGTCAATACTTAGTTCGTAGTTCATGATTGAACTCAATTGAGACACTCCTCAATGTCAATCATTTTCAGTACCTGCGCACTAAATTAAGATTTCTTTATCATTTCGCATCAGTATAGTTGTTTGAAAATCTCATATTCTTCCACACATGATTATTATCATACAACTCTTTGAAATGAAAAATCATGTGTTGGCATTTATACTCTCATGTTGCTTTCGTAACTCAAGTGACGTAATGTAAACATCACACATGTTGTAGTACTATTGTCATCACCGTGTTATTATAGCAGCTATCTCTTCCTTAAATGAGTCATCATCAGGTATCTTTGGAAAGGGCTGCTTAAGGACAATCAACTTTTTTATGCTTGAGAACAATTCTCAAATTGCGGTGCCAATCAAGAAAATTTTGGTTTGGTTGTTGGCATCTAGTGTGCCACCCAAATACACATGGTTACTCACGATTCAATAAAATATAAATGACAGAAGGAAAAGGAATAATATATAAAATGCATCAATTAATTTAATATGAACTTTTATTAAATTAATTATGCTCCCACTGTTTAACTCAAATATATGACCCTCTCGTATGAATTTATGGAATCCATACTTGACTCCCAGTGGAATGTGATCCCATTTGTTATATTAATATTAAGACTTTAAGTGTATCCAACAAGTCTTAAAAAAATATTTGGGTAGATATTATTATCAATTGCATCTCCATACAACTCTCAGATCATTAAACTGACAACTCTTTGCCTTTACATATCTTATGTGTTAGTTTAACACGCCTCTAAAATTTATTTCTTTGAGTGTACTCAACAAAAGATAAATTTCAGTTAAGTCGGACCAATCATTCAGAAATATCTAATATTTCATAATGTCAAACACATCCCTAATAAATCAGCCTTGAGTGTACTCAACAAGTTGAGACGATTTGAGACTCTAATTTTTCACTATAATGATGGAAGGCAAATAAAAAATTGACTTAATATTTTATTGAGGGGTTTTGCATTCAACAATCTCATCAACATCGATATAATCATATATATAATTTATTACGCATCAAATATGTAAATAAACATATATATAATATAATAATAGTATGGATGATTATCGACTTTTACTATCTAGTCTTCCCGAGCCATAAGGAAGACTAGTTGGTCAATTCCTATGGGGTATTGCATTGATCAGTATCAATGCATTATCTCAATGGTCTCCTCCTCTTCTTGTTTCTTTAATTAGTATAATTGCAACCTGTATCCTATACTAGTTGGCACACAGGCTTAAATGAAATTGGACTCGCAGGCCTATAGTAACAATAACAATAACGGACTCCCAGATCTAAAAAAATTAAAAGCTCATAGACTCATAAAATGATAAGAATAAAATTAACCATTTAACACATCCACATGGTCGAGTCCATAATCCTCCATTAATAACACGTTTATCACATAAATGTATTCTTATATAATATCTAATATTATATGCGTACATGTTTCAAGTTTTTAACAATTAAGGTCGTCTAAATTCTTTTAGACAAATGTATTAGAACAATTAAATAATTAATTAATCATATTAGTAAATTAATTTAATTATCGAGCATATTTAATTAAAATAAAATTTTAATTAAATATCAAATTAGAGTCCAACTCTAATTTCACAATATTAGGGCGGGACTATTTAATTAAAATTAAATTTTAATTAAATATTAAATTAGAGTCCAACTTGAATTTCAAAACTTAAGGAGGTGAAATTTAATCAAAATTAATTTTTAATTAAATAGCAAGATTAGAGTTCAACTCTAATTCTAAGATTTAGGGCGAATTTATTTAATTAAAATCAAATTTAAATTAAATACCAAATTAGAGTCTAACTCTAATTCCAAGCAAAATTTTGGGGCAAGACAATTTAATTAAAATCAAATCTCAATTAAACGTCAAATTAGAATTCAATTCTAATTTCAAAAATATATTTGGGTGAATAATTAATTAAAATAAAATTTTAATTAAGTATTAAATTAGAGTCTAACTCTAATTTAAATCGAATTAATATTTTAATTTAGGATAACACTCCTAAATAAAATAAAATTCAATTGGGGTCAAAATTTAATATTTAAGTTAAAATTCAATTTTAATGAAAATATGAAATGTCGTCAAATTTAAATAAAATTTTAAATGGGTAAAATTTGAAATTTTAGGGTCAAACCCATTTAAAATCAATTTTAAAATTTAAATTCAAAACACTTTAAAAATTGCAAATTGACCCAAGTTTCAAATTAATAGCAAGCCCCTAAATTTTGGAAATTGCATGATAGGCCCTCCAATTATAAAATTGCAAACTGACCCTTTTATAATATTGCAGACAAGGGCTCACAACTTTAGAAATTGCATAAGTGGCCCTCGTCCCCAATTCTCTCTCACCCGATCTACAGGAACCCTAAAACCTTAGAGAGTTCACCCTTTCTCCTCTCTTGGTGGTGCCGGATAACCAGCCCATGACGGTCTTACCCAAGGAGACGTTGAATTGCACCGTCGCTGTCAAAAGCGGCGGTGGGCTGTGAACAAACATCCGTGCGTTGCTGACAAGATAGCAATGCTCGGCGTTGTGAAGTGAACTACGACACTCGTCGCTGCTGTTGACAGCGATGAGCGCAGCGTCTCGACGGGCAGCGATGTCAAACGCACGCAGCTACTCGTGAATCCAACGGTGACGCAAATTTTTTTTTATTGTATGTTCCAATCAAAAATTATTTTCTAAACAAAACTTTTTTGAACATAGAAATAAATTTCTAATTGCAAGATCTAAGAAAAATAGGTACAATCAACTTTTGATTGTTTGCAAAACAATTTCTAACAAATACAAAGAAAGTTCTGATATCACTGTTGAACATCTACTTATCATGTGTAGCGAAAAATTAAAATGGATTTCGATTCCCACCAAGGATTCTTATGTGTTTAGATGGAAATTGTGATCAAAATTGTATCTTTTGCAAGATCTGCAAACTCCTTTGTTATTCTTTCGTTCTAACGATTTTGATTCATCATCCACAGCTGTTCAATTGTTCAGCCTCCAACGATGATCTACACAGAGAAAAAATGTTGTAGGATTATGATTTTCTTTCTTGTGCTAGCAAGAATGAATTCTCTATAAATTTTGAAAATCCTAGTCATATTTATAAAAACTCAAACGGGTTTGGCCTAACCCGGTCCAATATTTAATTAACCCATTTATTTAAATTCGGCCCGTGAATTAATTAATCCAATTAATTAATTCAGGCCTATAAATAAGCAACTTAATTAATTAATTATCCAACGCTTGCTAAATTAATTAATTGACAAATCACAATCTTCCAGTTCTCTTTTTGTGTGCAACTCATCACGTTCCCGATCACGATACCTAACGACGTGAAATATAATTTTGATATAATCAATATTGATAAATTAAAACATTCTTTTAATTTATCACCAATTCACACTCGTCATCCCAAATTGATATCTAGTAATGTGTCAGAGTAATACATGTGATGAAAAATATCACATAGTATGATAAAATCAAAATCGTTCGTTTACCCTGAAATTATAATCCATTCGTCAGTATGATCCGATCAATTACGAGATATGGAAGTGTGTCAATCTCGACTATTGATTATATCTTTCATACCACTATTAAGTCAATATAAGTTAAAAACTCCTTTTCGACTTTTGAGTACACATTGGCTAAGGATTTTGCTATCGACTTAATTGAATGAAATGCAGGTCATAATCTCTTACTATCTAAGAGTGACGAAATCTCTATTGGTCATTTACAACCTTCATACGATTCTTGACATACCCGAATGATGTCGTATTAGCGGCCCTTGACAGAGTAACATCCAACATTGTCAAAGCATGATTGTCCTCATATAAGGTACTATGGCGACCTCAAGTCAAAAGACCAATTCCACTGTCGAACGTTAGAGATTAACCACTAACACTCAAATAGTTATTCACGTGGAATTTCTCGACGGGTCTCCAATGATTATTTTTATAACAAAACATCCACGTATTCATTCAAATGTCACCACACTTTAATTTGTGAGATCAGTTACTTAATTCACAAGTTAGAAATGCCACACGTGATGGTCTATCTGTAATAACGATATACGTATCTCGTCATTATTAATGATCATAGATGATTTAAGATTCAATCATATGTCACAACTCCTTATGACTAAAAAATTACTAAGATTTGAACATACGAATTTCATTATTTAATTCAATTGAATATTAATTAATTAAATAATAGATCTGCCATAAATCGCATCAACTATATATTAAAAAGTGTTTATGTCCAAAGTCGATTGAACTTAGGACATAACACTTACATGTACAACATTAATTTGGTTTCTCAATATCCTTCTATTTTTCTTGAGGTCAATGTCAGCTAGACTAATTGGATCATCTTTAATTATTTTATATTCAATTTTTCTCTTGTATAATTTTTGTCAATTGTTATGTTTACCTGGGTAATTCTCATAACAAAAGACATCGCAGTTGCTTAATCTGTAAATAGCTTAAGTTTCCAGACCAACTGTTCGAATACATTGTTAGACATGATAAATCGCTCAACTGCAGACTTTTATGGATTCTTGAATATAGGTAAGTTCATGACATAATAAACTGAGAGAACAGTGGGTTTATCAAAGGAAATTAAATAAAAAAGTGAACTTATTAATAAGTTGTTCCGGTCCTGGAAGAACTATAGTTAATCACTAAAATGATCTCAAGGATTATGCAGAAATCAACTCATATAACGCAATCAGTCAAAGATGGAGATCAACATCCACACCATCACCCATATCTGTCGAGCTTGCTGATTTAGAAGTTCCTCGATTATTCCGACTGCCGCCTAGGGCCGCATCAGTTTGAAATCCTCCACCACCAGGATATCTCATTGGCACTCCTGATAAAACTTGAGGAGGTAACCGTACACAATTTTCACCTGTTGCATGGAACCTTGCACCATATGCACTTGCAGGTGCACCTGGACTAATGACTGGTCCTGACCGAGATGCATGTGGATTGATTACCGGAATAGTAACTCCCAACCCGCGTCGATGATGTTCGTAGTGGATTCGTTTTGCTCTTTGCCGTTCCTTCTTGTGTGCATTCTGATGACCACCTAATGCCTGAGAATTGGAGAACTTTCTGTGACAATGTTGGCATTCAAATCTTTTATTGTCTGGGTCATGTTTTTGCATTATAGCTGTAGGCGCACATTGAGTGACTGCAAAACCAAATAGCTTCATAACTGACGATGAAGAAGTTGCACGATTAACATGATTCTGATCAGATGGACATAAATCTCCTTCAGATGATAAGGATGATGAGGGTCTAGGAATCCAGTTATCTTCCATTTAATTATATGTATACATATTATAAATTTTTTAAATTTGCAAGCCAATATTTGACTCCAGGTATTTATAGACAATGAAAAAAAATTGTTGAAAATACAATTTTTTTTATAGTAGTAGGTTGACCCAACCCAAAAAAAAAAAAAAAAAAAAGCACACAGAAAAAAAGTGCTGATGGGTGATGCTTCCTACTGTGTATGAGTCACATGACATCTGAATCAAAAACCTAAAATTTACCTGTAGAAGGTCCAATTATACTGAGGCTACTACTTGTAACTATCCATTCACAGACTCGAGAATTCAAGTAACAGTTTTCAAGGTTGGTTAACAGTATTGGATAGAATTAAGGGCGATAAAGCAGCTAAATTCTTATCTAATGTAGTGTAATGGCACGTACTGAACATGCCCTATCAGTATATATTTAATGGTTAATTACATGCATCAAGAAATTAGAGATTACAACTGTCTGTGGCTCAGTAATTGTGGTTATTATATCTTGTAGTAGATAGTTTCTTAAAGCAATGATGAAATATATTTGCATTTTAATTTTAGTGATTTTATCACCTTAGGCTTTTCTTTCCCAGGTGTTTCTGCTTTTAGATCCACGTAAGTAATGATCACCGTCTTTTTAAAGTTTTTTACACTGTAAATGCATGTCATTATGTATACGATCACAATCAATGATTCTCACAATCGCTGTTATACATCAAGATGCCGTTAATTGGCCCTTCGTGCCTAGATATGATGACGACAATATCTTGTGCAATCCAAGCTTTATCTCGACCTTATCTTGTGAGTTAAGTATGACTGCACCCCACATCGCCCAGCGCCATTCATGCACGAGCATGCGCACAGACACACACATAGACGTGCACATTTACAAAAAGTCCTACGTCAGCCATACACGAGATGGTCTCGAGTTTATTATAAGGGATTGAACTAGATTAATAACTTTTTGGGATGAAACTTCAAGTTCCAATGACTAGCATAAGAGTCATGTCCTAGAGTCGATCATGTGGATCAGGAGATGAGTCTAGACTAGACGTGTGCGCGGAAGATCCAAATGAAGGTGTGTTCTAGTTATGTTGACCTCGATGATCATGCATGGACTATTATGATGTGTTACCTCATTTGAGGGTGTTGTTAAAAGAGGACCGGAGTACTTGACTTAATATGTTAATATTTTCACATGGAACCTCAAATCCCAACAAAAAGGTCGATACGAAGTTGTTAATTTCTCGTTCTGTCATTTTCTCAAACTGTAGTAATCCATGCCTGAGGAATGATAATTTCATGATTATATCAATAATCTGTTGAAGCATACAATTTTATTGATAGGTAGATGATGCATTATATTGCTTGCATACATTTTGGAATAGCAATATTTTTGTAGGGCATTCATTGCATGTGATTGGAGTTCAGGCAATGTAAGCACTGTCTACCATAGCAAGTACAAATTTGGAGGATATGAATTTTTGATTAAAAAAAACGATGATCTCTTCCATCCATTAGTTTCTTTTGTTGTTTGCAAAACGTAATGATGTTTTCTCAAGTACAAATAATTCTAACATCCAATATTGGATCTATTTCAACACCTTGCTCTTTTAGCTTTTTCTTACACTCGTATGTACACATTTTTCCACAAAACTTAGATTCAGAAAGTATGGTATGGCATCAAATTGTACTTTTATTCCCTTTTGATAAGCATGATGGATGATGCAGAAAGTCGACAAGAAGACATTTCTTGCTTCAATAAGACAGAACATAAAAAGAGACACTGACTGGTGGTGAAGGCCAACCAAGGAATGGCTAGAGAAGACGTGACATTAAGGTTGACATACCAGGGCCATTAATTTCGTGAACATGATCATCTCAAGTGCTTTAAACTCTATCGAGAGAGCTACATAGTTTCCTATTCTTCTTTGAAGATCCCTAACTCCACAAGCAAATAGGATTTAGGATAAGAGATGGTATCTAACTAGGATTTTTTGAGATTTGCCTTTTCTATCTCTTATTATACTAACACGCACGATTTATATATTTATCTTTTACGGCACTAGGGTAAAATGGGGCATGTTGGCCCTGCTCAGTGTTAAGTCCAGATGGTCAAGCAAATTTTGACACGTCTAAATATAAACATTAATTTTGGTTTTAATTTTAGATGAAAATTATTGTCATTGATGGATTTTGATAAGTACGTTTTTATGCACTTATATAACTCACAAACATGACTAAAATATGAGCAAAGTATTTGAAATGTGACTTAAATTTGTTTAATTCTTGGATTGTAGGGTTTGCTGATAGACATGATGAAATTCACGAGAAAAAGAAGCTAAAAGGACCAAAATGCAAATCTCCAAAAGATGAACCAAAGAAGCAATCAAAGATTGGATTAAGCCAAGTACCAATTGGAGGTTAACATGGATCGATGGAATGAAAATAAGGAAGAAACGAGGCCAAGATTGTGAAGAATAAAGTTCAAGGACTAAAATCAATATTGTGGAAAAAGGGACACCTATGCAGTCGCATAGGTGCCACCCGAAACTAAAACCCCAAATTTTTTTAGCCTATACGGTCGCATAGGTTATACCTAAGTGATCGCATATGCATACTTCGGGGGCTGATTCTGCAGTTTCTGTTTTTCAATAAAACTCTTATAGACTTTGATTTTTACACGATATAAAAGTCGAGATTCGTCAAAATTAGGGTAAGAATGCATTGGAGGAGAGCAAAAATACTTCTTGGAGACCAAATTGAGGGAGATCAACAAGAGATTTCACGAAGAACATCAATATTTCATCAAATTTCAATATCCGGTGATGTTTTATTTTCAAGAATTCATGTATTCCTTTAGATTCTCAATGTTAGGCTAAGTTTTCTCATGCTAGGAGATCGATGAACTATGTAATATGATCTTTGGATTTTAATTTTTCCAATTTGATAATTAAACGCATATTTGATTATTTGAATGATTTATATACATTAATTTCATCCATGATTGAGTGCACGCGATTGTGTGATGTGTAGTGATTTATTTCTTACATTCGAGAGAAGGGAAATAGATTTAACAAGGTATAGATCATCGTAGGGTCCGATAGGAGATAGAAATATGCCTCTATGCTTTGCGTGATTCGTGAATTGCTCATAAAACCCTATGCATTCTTATGTATATGCATCCGTCATAGAGATATAGGCTGGTGGTACATAAGAATATGTTCAAAGTTGCTCGAGAGAGTGTGTTGGATAGATTTAGGAGCATTGAGTCGTCAATAATCAAATTTTGTTGTCAGATTGTGAAATTATGATTTTAAGTGTTTAATACATAGGAATTAGTGATCCTAGTGTTTTTTAATTTTATTGAATACAATCAATTTTGCGTTTCAATCATCACATTGCGATTAATTTCATTTAAACACATTGTTTGCATAGTCAATTCATTTTATAATACGTTTAGCAAAATTAGGGTTTTCATAAATTAGGGTTTCACTAAATTAGAGTTTTTCTTAGGTTAAATATCTATTTTGACAAATTCGTTTCGGTTAAGGCTAAGGTAGATAAAATTGAACTATTCGATTTCTGTGGGACGATATTCGGAACTTAATATTTCACTTTATTACTTGTTAACGAGCCGTACCTTGCGGTCATTTTAAATCGAAAGGAAATGATTTTGTGAACAAGTTTTTGACGTCGTTACCGGGGATTGAGTATTCATTTAATTTTATTTATATTGGCACTAATTTGAGCATCCATATTTGCATTTTCTGTTATTTTGTCGTGTTTTATTTAATTTAATTTAATTTAATTTAATTTTGATTTGTTTTATTTATTATTTCATTTTAATATCTAAGCACTCCTATTGACTATTCTCGCAGATTTGCATGTTAAGGTCTACTAAAGGAAAATTGATCCCAGCTGATCCAGAAATCGAATGAACTCTACATTAAAGGCTGCGAGAAAATAGAGAGGCACATAAACAAATGGCTAATGTCTAGAACAATCCAATTTTTCAGGCCAATGAAGAAGGGGACAATAGATGAAGGAAATATGCTCGTCGGAGATTTCATGACCCCTCAGATAATTCAAAGCCAGTCAAGTATCGTGTATCCACCGTTTGGACAGCCTAAATTCTAACTGAAGACTAATGTGATACAATTATTTCAAAACGATCATCAATTCTATGGAAGGACTGAATAGAATCCACATACGCATGTCTCTCATTTTCTGGAGATGTGCCAACACTTCAGATATTAAGGAATCTCGGACGATGCAATTAGATTAAGATTGTTCCCACATACACTGCACAATAAGGCAATCGAATGGCTAGATTCGCAACCAATCGCAAGCATCACTACATGGAATGATCTAGCCTAAAAATTTTGCACCAAGTTCTTCTCACCTGGTAAGATGAAAAGCTCAAGCACAACGTTTCTATTTTCAGTCAAGGCGACTTAGAGAATTTCGACGAAGCCTGGAATAGGTTCAAGAATATGCTGCGAAAGTGTCCACATCATGGGATTAACAAGGAACTTTAGGTCTAATACTTTTGTGCGGGATTACTCTTAGCCTTCAAGAGCATGGTTGACTCGTCATCAAATGGATCACTGTCCACAAAGACAATTGATAAAGCACTGAAACTTTTCGAGACTATGGCTACAGCTTCAACTATGTGGATATCAGAACGAGCAGTTCAGAAGAAGATACCAGGGTTTATGAAGTAGATGTTTATTCCGTCTTGTCTGCCAAAATTGATTCATTACTTCACAAGGTGAAAAACATGACACAATCAACCATCGTAGCATAGTCGAAGAAGGCCAGTTTTGAAAAATGTGGAGCCGAACATGTAACAACGGAAGGTCTAATCTTGATACAAGGAGTAGAGCAAGTAGATTTTGCTCAATGGGGATAGTGGCAGCAAAACAACACATTTGGGGAAACATACAATTTGAGTTGGAAAAAGCACCCAAATCTTTCTTGGAGCAACCAAAACCAAAATACGCCACTAG